CCTTCCGTTGGTGAGGTGTTGTTGCGGCCCTATGCTCCACTGGGAGTTTACAGGAATAAAAAAAAATAGTGCTCACCAAAATTTAATTTTATGACATTCTTGTAAACGGTATTTATGTAGCAAGATATAAGGATTAACATGATATGTTTGTTGCTATTCTGCATGATTATGTATTTATCAATACCTGATGACAGTCACTCAATAAGGGGATTTTGAAGTGTGTGTTTAAAACCAGAAGACGTGATTAAATCCACATTCTTCCTTGTACAGCTTCAATGTTATTCCAAATCCACCAAAGGAAGACCACAACACACCTCTCATATATATATAACACTTCAGAAAGTCACCCATACATACCCACAAGGATCACTATAGTTAACACACTATGGTATAATTAGCAATATATGTATTTCTTTCAGCTTGGTGCTGGACAGGTAGAATATATAGTACCTGTTCAGTGAAAGTGAGTTTTTCTCAGGGTTCTCCCCCCCCCCCTTTTTTGTGGTCCTGAAATGGGGTGCTGAACTTGGAAGCCTACTTGTTTCTTTTCCGTGACTTACAAAATCTCCCAAACAAATACTAAAAGACAGAAATCCAAAAGCTAGCTACATGCAAACACCAATGAATAAAAGTTACTCTGACTCTCTAAATCTGTCACACCAACATGAAGAATACAGAATTATAAAATATTTATTTAGCAACACACAATAGCTTAGGTTGAAAGGAGGATAAGATAAGCCTTGAGCCACCCTTCATTTCCTATCCATTGGAAAAAATAAGTTCTGTCAACTGTCATCAACAATAGCTAAACAGCAAGGTTTTAATTTATTGTCTATTTAAAGAGTTTCCAAGCAAAATGACTTACTTCACAAAATAAATATTTTAGCAACAAAAATTGAAAAACCCTTTTTGCACGCAAGAGTTCAGAATATTTTTACATATATTAAAAAAGTTCTTTCTGGTCTGTGAAAATTTAAGATAATTAAATGAATATAGGAATTTTGTTTAAAAAATGTGTAGCTTTGATTAGTTTTTGTACAGGATACAAAAAAAAAAGATATTTAATATCTTTAAGCAAAATAAATAAATGATGAAGGTAACCATAAAAGCTTTTCGTAATGCATAAATGGATAATAATAATAAGCTTAAGTTAATTTGGTATTTCAAGATATTAAACTTTTTGTGTAATGATTATTATTTCTTACTCATGGTATAAACATACCTCTTCTTTTACTAAGAACTAAGAAATGCAGAATGGTCATTTTTCCAGATCCTTAGTTGAAGCAGAAAAACAATTCCAGGTTTTGTGAGAATGATGGGATGTTCAGTCTCCTACAGACCATTTATTCTGCTACTGTACATCTAAGATGTATTGTTTTCTTTAATGTTCACAAAGGTACATAGTAGTGGTAATTTTTACAAATTGTTAAAACAAGGTTTTTGACCATAAAGCTGATATATTGAATACAGAACTATATTTCTCATACTTGTGATGCCAAGAATGAGAAAGTTATTGCTGATTTTGATGAAGAGTTTATGTAAATGAATATTTTCTAAAACCAGGTTTGTGTACCAATGCCTGTTTGTTTTTAATCAATTTTGTTTCTGCTGTCTTTTCTCATTAGTGTACAGTTTGCAGTGTAGGAGATTGAAAAGTGAGGACTAAATATATTGTATTGATCTGTACTAACTGAACCATATTCAATTGTTTATTATCAAAGTACAAATGTTAAAAATTTAATTTGCAGCTCAAGCTACATTCCATATTTTGCTACAGCACTGCCAGAATGAATGTATTTCTCGTTGAAACTTTCTCACAACAATAACGTAAGACTGAAAATGGATTATCAATATATACCATATAAATGTGCATGTGCCTATACGTATGTGAAAAAAATTACAGCTTGATCTTAAGAAGAACAGTTAGAACTTTACTCTTTTAAATCCCGAGCTGTAATTTTGTTTTCTTTAAAAATGTTGGAGGTTTTTACTTCATGTTGATGTTTTACAACAACTAGGATAAAGTAGAATAGTATGGTTATAAACCTTTTAGATTAGGATGGCTATGTAAGGGTATAGTTTTTGATGTCATTTTAAAATTTATAATTGTTTAATAAAAATACATCTCATCTTAGTTGTGAAAATGTTTTAAACTGCAAGTTTACAGCAAATACATTTGCTTAAAAATTAAGTACGTTAACTGAAGATATATTCATCAAAATAAAAACTAATGATAGGTTTGAATACCTAGCCACATGTAGACTGTAATGTCAAGATGTTTTACTACTATTGATGTTTTATTTTTGTTGACATATCACCAAAACTGTTTACATAATAAAAAAATCCCTTGAAAATTTATTGTGTGTTGCAAGGTTTTAAGCAATTTGTTGGAAAAATGCATTCAACAGCTTCAAATATTTCTTGTTTGGTGATTTACAGATAACAGTAAAAAAGATCAATCCGTGTGCATAAGAGCACATATTTCCACATAACAGAAAATAAAAATATCTGTAGAAAATGTAATATATCGTTATTCCCATTTTTGAACTCACAAATTATGAGAATTTAATTTTTTTCACATTAAGTATCTTTTGAAAAATATATATAAGCTATCTCAGGTTTCTAAAATTGGGTTGTTGATAAGAAGTTGCTGTGCCCACTTTTAAAGCTAATTTTACATAGACTTAGAGCTTAATAATTTATATTAATCTCAACACCTCCAAAAATGTATGGAATAATAATGTCATTATATTCACCACATTAGTTATGAAGCCATGAGTGATGTACATTGTGTGTTTCATAAACCACCTGAGTAAACCCACATTCCTAATTTCTTGATGAAAAGTGTCTTTTGCAAAAATTGTTGTATTCTCTATAATCTTCTTTAATATTTATAAATACTGTGGTGCACTAAAGCTCAATGATTGTTTGTAAAATTAGAGAAAATTAATATTTATATATAAAATTGTTTTCTCTTGCTATCCTGGTTATATTTTTAGGCTTTTCAAACCTTTCTAAATGCTTTGCTTCAGCTTTATGGAGTCTAGTTTTGAAGATCAATCTTTTTGTTATAATTCCCCACCTTGTTTGGTTTTGACAAACAACAGGCTTCCCTATTGGGTTAGCGGTAAATTTATGGACTATAAACCTGTGTTTGGTTCCCTGTGGAGGGCAGAGTGGAGATAGCCTATTGCGTAGCTTTGTGCTAAAACAAACAGACTACTGGTACAGAGCAAATAAAGCTTGATATATTCTAGTTTTGGCTCTTTAGCTTGATTTCATCTAGCTACCTGTGAATGCAATGCATGTCAAGAATTTAAAAAACAAAATTCCACACCGTTTTTAGGAATGTGAAGTACACATAGGCCTACATGTAATCGATCTGTTCCAGGGCATCATGACACCACGTGCAGTTGGCCTTCCGATCAGCCGTGCTAATGCATGCTGCAGCTCTAGCAGTGAATTATTGATGATGGAATACTTACTGTTAAAGATGGCGTATTAATGCCTCAAGTCACCATGTCAACCAAACCAAGTCTCATTTACATACAGTACAAAACTTTGGAGGAGTTACATACCCAACCAGGAACAACACTTAAATTGCCACAACAAGTTTATATACATATCTAGTGCATTATTTGTGCATCATTAGGGAGATACGTAAACACTACAAGTATAACACTGTATAGTAAAATCCCTTCTTTTTTGCACACTGCCTTATCTGAACTTTCAAGGCTAATAACAGTTGGATAAGTAATACCATTGTAGTTTATGACATATCGTGCTTTTGCTTCTACCTGTAAGTCTTTAAATATACAAGAAACAAATATCTTTATTCGTATCCGTATAATTCCTCAAAACAACAAAAAACTGATCTCACTTTTTTTTTATCAGTTCATAGCTATTTGATAGAGAAAAAAGTATGAATCTTAATTAATAAAATGCAGATCGTTTTTTTGAAATGTACTGGCAAATGTTATTCAATGTTCTGTATTGGTACATATTTACTAAGTATGGATTTATTTTCATTTTAAATACACTGATAATTTTTTGACAGCTGTTCTCAGACTGAAGAATCACAAAATGTTATTATTGGTAAAAACTAGTCATATCATCAAGAAAATGTTTTGGGTTTTTTTTCATTTATTTACTTCTAATTGTGCTGTAAATCTGTGTCTGAAGGTGTTTTTAACATGGTTTTATACTACTACTTTTAGGGTAGAGGTAGGTTTTCTTGAGTATAGCAAATAGCCGAAATATTTGAACTGAGCAACGATCGTGTCCTCATGGGTTGCAACAGTGAAGCTAACTTTTGGCGAGTCTGCCAAATCATTGCCACAGGTCATAGGTTGCTGACCACTGAACTAAAAAAATCAAATAGAAGATTTGGCAGTGATGCTTAAAACTAGTAAATTTGTCTAATATAGATCTTGAAAGTACATCTATGTTATCAGAAGAAACTAGTTAAAATAAATACGTAGCTTGTTGTTACTTCATAAGGCTCTGATTGACCTGCAGGTTGATTGATGTACATAATGAATGCTAAGTATGTATGTAATATTAGTATGTGAACTATAGCTAAACAGAAATATTTTTATCGTAACCAAAATATCTTAATCATATATATTTGTACACTTGTTTAAGTCTTTGTAAGTTATTTTATTTTTTCTCCTGACAATTTTAGGTTTATATTTTGTTCTATTATCTTGAAACAAAGTATATGCAGATATTAAGATATTTATATATATTCAACACATAAACTATAAGTTCTACACTTTCCTTTTTTCTATGTTAACTATTAACTTATTTAAAACAGCTTCCTAATTTATTAATTTTATATCATAATTTAATATTTCTTGCATAAATATAAACTAAGTTACCAGCATACATTATACAAATGACAGGAGTTTTGAAATTATTCATTGTTGATTATCAGGCTTGAGGCGCTCCAATAAATTATTCATCTACATTGTGTATGACGAAAGAAACAGTAAACTACTTTTTTCATTTAGCCTAAGAATTGTAGGTACCTTTAGTACATTAAATTTTGCTATCTAGTGCATATAAATTTTTGCTGAAAATCAAATAATGCTATTGAAGAATGGTAAGTTCTTTTAGAGGTTGAATGGTGGTTATTTAATGTTGTTAAGTACCTTTAAACATAGATCATATTGGCTGTTGTCATTACAATAGTAAAAATTATATATTTTGAAAGGCATTTTCTTATAACCAATCTTTGTTTGTGTTTAATTTCAGAAAGTAATCAGAGAAATGTCAAGTACAGAAGTAAACCATATAAGTCACTTGATGAACCTATTATATACATATAACATCATTAAAATAATAAGACAGAATGCTGTGGGATTGTCCTGAAAGGGAATGCATTTTATCCAAAAATGTTACTTATATATAAATCATAGTGGACATTTGTTGGGAAAACATTTTATAAATTGAGAAACTGGATGTATGAATTTGGTCACACACTTTTGTAAAAAAGGTCTATATTATTATTATTTTAATTATTTGTAAGAGTATAAAACTTGTTTTTTTTTTCTTAATTAATGCATTAGGTTGGAATGAGCTTCTTATAGCTGCATTTTCGTTTCGGTCCATTAATGTAAAAGATGGGATAGTTCTTGCTACAGGATTAGTGGTCCAAAGAAATAGTGCCCACAGTGCTGGAATGGGTGCCATCTTTGATCGTGTTCTTAATGAACTAGTGGCAAAGATGAGAGAAATGAAGATGGAAAAGACTGAGCTGGGATGCTTGAGAGCTATTGTTCTTTTTAACCCAGGTAGGCAGGCCTTCTTAGCAACCCAAACTTAAGTTCTGAAAGTTCCAACAATAGCTAACACTTTTTATTATTACTTATTATAGTAACATTTGTTTCTAAGTTTTGCTGTAAAACCTCCACTTTTTTTTTCATACAAAAGTCAGCTATTGGATTACTAGGCTTCAGACTGGTAAACCTCTAACTACCAACTAGCTAGGATTATCTTTTTTTTTTATGTCAAGTGTGCAACTGAGTACAAGCATTTTTTCTAAAAACAAACCAGTAGAACTATACTGAGAATTTTCAATTTTGTAGTGTTTTCTCTCTCTCTCTCTTTGGAATTCAAGTTTTTGTCACTTGTTTTTTTAACAAAAAAAAACAAACAAATAAAAACAGATGTGAAAAATTATCTTGCCACAGTCCTGAAATAGTTGTTACAAGATCAACAAATATATATGTATGTATGTATATATAATATAATCAAATATATTTATTGCATAGTGGACAATTATTCTGTTTTCTAGTGGGAGTAAAAACAAACTGTTTGATAATTGTTCAACTTTTCTTTTGAACTCTTAACATCACCAATATGCCCAGTTAACAAAAATTACTGCTGTGGGGATATAGTAATATTAAGAATCAAATCCAAGAGACTTGCAGATTTTCAAGTGAAATGAGAGCACCATGAAGAAGTTGTCATTATTATATTGTTATTAAAAGTGTGATGATTGAAGGATTCTGTAGCATAAGCTGAGAATACTTTTTTTTTTGACTGATTACATTTCTTTAAACAAAATATTTTTAAGAATTACACCTTAAACCATACTTTCTTCCTTCTCCAAGCTTTATTTCAGTTACTTGAATATTAATATAATTTTGCTATCTATTTATTTAAATAATCTATATTACAGTGCTTCCAGTGAAAGGGAGTAGAGTTTAGTATTATGATTATTGGTTTTTCTTATCTGGAATGCTTTGTTTTTATGTTCCATTTATATTATTGTTTTCAGTATAAGCCCAGTTATCTTTTGGGTTGGTTTAATTCTTTTACATATTACTAATGTTTGTTCATTTGTAATTTCGTTTGGCCCATGAATAAATAAATCAAAGTAATTAGAGAACTATAACAAGAACTGAATAAGCTTCTGAATTTAGTATTTGTGTAGCAGAAGAGAGCCTCAAGGTAAAGAACCAGGTTGACTCAAAAAGGATTTAAAGGATAAAATTAAAGAAAAACATTAAGTATAAACTGACTGCAAGGATGGGAGATTTGGAAGATTATAGAAGATTAAGAGAGTTGGTCAAATGAGAAATTAGGAATCAAGAAAAGAGTATAAGAAAACAGTTGGCTGAAAATGTAAGAATAAATAGTAAGGATTTCTTCAAATATATTAAGGGTAAACAAAATCTTGGATGAGAGTAGGGCTTTTGAAGGATGATACAGGAACAATATTATCTAATGATTATTGGATGGCTGTAATATTTAATTTTATTTTTTCTTCAGTTTTCATTAATGAAGATTTAAGCAATATTCCTCACCATGGATATTTGCTAGATAGAAACAAGATGATCACATTAATTTTGAGCTTGTTAAGAAAAAGTTGAGAAGTTTGAATTATGATAAAGCTCCTGGGCCAGATAATATTTATCCAAGGGTTTTTAAAGGGATTAAGAATTGGATATGTGAGTCACTTGCTATTATTTTTTTCAAGTGGTGCCAGAAAATTGGAAGTTGGCTAATGTTACTCCTCTTTACAAGGAATTGATAATAGTTATTCCAGTAATTATAGATCTGTTAGTTCTTTGGTGGTGGTGGGAAAAAGTCTGACAAAAGATGCTTTGCAAAGTCATTTAACAAAGTTTAAAATTTTGATAGTCAGAATGGTTTCACTTGGGGATATTTTGGCCTCACTAATCTATTGAAATTCTTTGAAGAGGTTACTGTTTATGTAAATGAAGGTACAGATGTAGATTTGGTGTATCTGAATTTTCAGAAAGCATTTGACAAGGTGCCATATAAAACGCTTTAAAAAGTTATATCTGTAGGTGTGAGGGATAGGTTGGATAGAAAATTAGCTAGATGGAAGAAAGCAGAGGGTTGTTATAAATGGAGTTCAGTCAAATTGGGTTAATATCATGAGTGGGATACTTCAGGGTCAAGTGTTAAGACCTTTGCTCATTTTGATTTACCCCAATGGTATAGATGAAGGAATGATCAATAGATTATATAAATTTGCTGATGATGTTAAAGTTTTGGGCATTGCTGACTGTGAGGAGGATATGGTTGCTTTACATAAGGATTTGGATTATATGATGAGTTTGGCAAATAAATGGCAGATTAATTATAATTTATAATAAATGCAAGGTAATGCATGTGGGATATCACAATTTGAATTATGAGTATAATTTTGATGGGAATAACCTTAATAGTGTTATGGAAGAATAAGATCTTGGTGTTCTGGTTCATCAGTCTTTTAAGCCATCTGAACAGTGCTGTTACTAGTGGCATGGCAAGTAGGGTTTCAGATTGTATTCACAGAAGTATTGAATAGAAGTATAAAAAGGCTACAATGTCATTGTACAGGTCATTGGTTAGGCCACATTTTGAGCACTGTGTTCAGTCTTGGGCTCCTTATCTTAGAAAGGACATTGAATTGTTGGAAAAAGTTTAAAGTAGAGCTACAAGAATGATATCTGGAGTGATAGGTTACTTGAAGTGCTTAAGATTATTAAGGGAACTGATATTGTTGATGCATCATCTTTTTTTTTTCTATCATTGTGAAAATGGTAGAAATAGGGGACACAAATATAAATATCATCTTCAGCTAAGACAGCTTTATTTTTTAACAACGTGGTTAGCCTTTGGAATGGGTTGCTTTTGGATGGGGTGGATGAAAGTAATTTAAGGGAGTTTGTTTGTTTGTTTTGAATTTCACGCAAAGCTACACGAGGGCTATCTGCGCTAGCTGTCCCTAATTTACCTCTGTAATACTAGAGGTAAGGAAGCTTGTCATCACCACCCACTGCCAACTCTTGGGCTATTTTTTTACCAATGAATAGCGGGATTGACCATCACATTATAACGCCTCCATGGCTGAAAGGGCAAGCATGTTTAGTGTGACGGAGATTCGAACCCGCGACCCACAGATTGCAAGTTGAGTGCCTTAACCACCTGGCCATGCCGGGCCTTAAGGGAGTTTAATGGGAAAGCTTGATAAATATTTGAATGATAAGGATGGGCATATTGTCAATTAATGTTATGTTATATTAAAACTATTTTAAATATATAAATTAGTAAGTTATGTGACAACTACAGCCAGTATAAGGTCGTGAAACAGCATAGATCAAAACTACATTTTAAGTTTGTTTGGTGTTTAATAGGTAGTGTGATGCCACTGAAAATTTATTGCTTTTGGGGTGGGGGGAAAATGGTATGTAGCAGCAAAATATTCATACACTCGGATAATAATCATGTGCTAATATTGGGAATTTAGAATTTCCAAGATGGGACATCCCTTGTACTTAATGGCTTTGGAAAACAAAGGATAATGGATTGATTTGGAACATCAGGACCAACCTGGAACAAGCTGTACCCCAGCTCTGGTAAACAAAGTGTAGCATCTTGTAATAAGTTATAATCCATGAGCACAAAAGTTAGTGGCAAAAGCTGTCCTTATCTCACAGGCAACAGTACAGAGCATAATCAAGAAAGATTTCCATTTGGAAATAAGACCAACAGAATATGGGTTCACCAAGATAAAGCATCCAATCATAACTCCCATTCAACCAACACATACCTTAAGTAGATGGAGAATGATACAAGTATTCATACTATTATATAGGAAGATATAATGGTCAAGTCATTAGATTCAATACCTGTAGATTTCTATACAATTGGACTGTTGAATTGGATGCTGAAACACAGTCATTTTCATACACTAAGTAGATTATGGAAAGAATCAGGAAGGAGAGGTATGTTTTGAACATGACAGCCTTTTAGAATAGAAACTATGCTGCAGGGCTGTTTTAAAGATGCACAATTATTAGATGAAGCATAAATGAACATGTTATCATGCGCTGTAATGATGTGGTGAGGCTCCAAAATCATTTTAATTTAATTCACTCAACCTTTGTACATAGCATTGGTCTTTGTTATCTCACTTTAAAAGTTCTAGTAATTGAGAATCTGACAATGTTAATTTTGAAACAGAAACTATGCAAAGATTGCAATATTTTCTATAAAAAAAGTAGTATAGATTGAATCATCCTTTTGATTTGTATTCTAATTACAGAAGCCAAAGGGTTAAAATCCGTTCAGTACGTCGAAACTCTGCGAGAAAAGGTGTATGCTGCCCTAGAGGATTACTGCAAACAGAACTACCCTGACCAACCAGGCCGATTTGCAAAGCTGCTGCTGCGCTTGCCAGCTCTCCGTAGCATTGGCCTTACTTGTTTGGAACATCTGTTTTTCTTCCGTCTGATTAGCAACACACCTATTGATGATTTTCTGATGTCAATGCTGGAAGCACCAAATGACCCCTGACAACTCTTCTCTGGTACACCAAGGTGTTTTTCTTACTACTGCCATCTAGCATTTGCGACTTTTCTTGCCAAATTGTTTATTGTTGTTCCATAAAGTGGGTGAAGGCTGGAATAGAGTGTCACAGACAGATAAAAATAATTAATAGATTTTCCCCATTAGTTTTATAACATAAGTCTTGGTCTTTTAAAATATGGCTATTAAAACAAATGTATATGGCTCAAGAAGATGCTTGCTGTTTCCTTTTTATTTTATGATCACAAAAAAAACATTGATAATTTAACCCTGTGATTTACAGAAACTGACTTATAGGTCATTTTAGTTAATTAAGTATTTTGTGATGTTTTTAGAGGAGAATACACATCCAGCTTCATCACAGGAAAGTTTAACTCACCCTGTTGTTTGTTTGTCATTTTCATTGTCTGATTGGTAAGAAATTAGTAACACCTTTAAAAGAATAGCTGTATTTTATTATTTGTGAAACTTTTCTCATGATAGTCAGATTTGTTTCATATTTCCAGTGGCTTTAATCTTCTTGAAATGTCATGTTAAGGCCATAGAATGAGTGGACTCATTATCAAGATCAAGAATAAATATACAAAATATTAAAATGGGGTTTCTATCTTGGGTGAACAGAGGTAACATTGGTAATTATTGAAGATTTTGTTATATGATTTTTGTTAGTATTTCCTAAATGGGTATATAGGAAAAATTAGAATAGTTTAATAGAAAATTACAAGTGCTATTACAAACAAACGTATAATGATAAAGTGAATGTTATAAAATCACAAAGATAACAAATGATCTGAATTTGTAACAATGTATAAAGGAAATAATATTTTTGATTTAACTTAAGAAAAAAATCAAGTATGAAAATAGATTTTCTAGTGTTTGAGATTTAGCATTAAACACTACTATGGTTTAATTGGTGAAAGTTGGCTGAGAATCAGAAACCAATAAGCCTCAACTTTTTATTAATGTTTACATGACTTTTATCTAAAATTGTAGGTCTATTGAATACTAATACATACTTAGGATCTCTGAAAGATAAAGACAATCAGCATTAGTAATATAAAAATGAGTGCAGAAGTTATATTCATTATATTTAAAGAAACAAAGATTTTTTATAATTCGGGATAAATTGTTTCAAATTGTCAGTTTGTGCTTCATCTTTTCTCAGTCACTTGGATATTAAGCAGCTTTTTTTTTTTCTATCAGAAATAATTTAAATTGTTTGAGGAAAAAAGGTCATATACATATATGATACATTTTAGTATTTGTTCAGAAGATATTGATTAATAACAAAACTTGCAGGTTGTGGCCATCATTATGTGTGTTAATACCCAAATAAAGATATACATATATATCTGTATAAACAATTTATAAATCTTATTAGTACTTCCTTAAAACAATATGTACTGTGTAAAGACTTTATGACTTATAAAAACTACGAGTAGATTATCTACACAAGATCTTCTGTATATGTCCAATGACTTAAAAAAATTATGATGCAGATAGAAAACATTACACCAGTAAGCTTTTCTTGATAGTAATCAATATTTTTTGAGGAAAATAACTAATGATTAAGATAAACAACAATCAATTACTTGTTTGCATAAAATATTTCAGTTTTAACTACCTTAGAATTGTACTGATATTTTAGAAGAATTACCAATATGATAGACTTTTCTGTTGGATACCGTTGAGAGTTAAACAGGATGAAAGAAAGTTAACTGTTTAAGATATAATATTCAGGAACCAGGCTTTTGTTTTTAGTTAATCCTTATGTCTGTGATATAGTATTGTTTGGCTTGCTGAGTTCATAAGTAAAGAAAGTACTCGATTTAATATTTTTTTATTTGTAGTATTGAAATGTAGACCATACTAACATGCTATATTCATGTTTGTATAGTGCTACAATATCCTCACATCTAACTTTAAAATTTTATCCTTCTGAAGTTTATAGGGTGTAGTGAGTAGTTCACAGTTGATAAGAATGTACTGGTACAAAATATATTAGATAGAGTTTAGTTTTCATTCATGAGGTAGTCTTATATACTATTTTCTACGCATAATTTTTAAAATGTTTTCTGGCTGAAAAATAAGATCTTAAAATGAATCTTAAAAACAAAATATGGTATGTTCAACACTCACAAACCAAGATACCACTTTGGCTATAGAAAAATTTTAAAAATCAGTAAATAAATTTTAACATTAGAAAAAAGAAAAGACAAATATCACTATGCTGTTAACTCTTCAGTTGTTGAAATATCATTGAAGATATAAGAGCAGCATATAGTAATTTTTTGGAGTATATTCAGAAAAGTTACAGGTTTTTACAAGACAGTAATGTTTCGAAACACTTCCCTAAATTTTACTATGAAAACCACAAAGATTTTATATACTTTTACTCAAGTTTCCTGTTAATTATTTCCCACAAAAACTGAACTCTATTTACCTTTTGTTAAAACACTATCTTGTAAGTTTAAATTTGATTGTTAATTCTTTAATTTTGAATTATTTCATAAATGCATACTGATTATGTAATTAGTTCATTTGCCAGAAAACAAGTTTTGATTAGCCAAGTCATATAAATCCCTATGAAATAATATAATAGGACAAAATTTTAAAGTATTGTGGACTTACTACAGCTAGTATATACAGTTCCAGTAGTTATTTAGCTCTTAACAAGTATATAGAGAACTTCATATTTATATTTTAATGATAACTAAGAGCATATGTTTTATGTTTTAAAACTGGTGAAATCTAGAATTTTTTGAGCAGTTTGTTTTGTATTTACTCCAACTATTGATACTTAAAACTTCAGGTGACTTAAATTGTTTCTATTTTAAGTTTTACAAAGAACAATAATTTTAAGTTTGCAAACTTAAGCTAAATGGAAAAATGGTTAAAGAAAAGAACAAAAATATTAAAGGAAAGAGATTAGTTCAATGGTCAGCAACCTATGACCTGCGGCAATGATTTGGCAGACCCGCCAAAAGTTGGCTTCACCGTTGCAACCCATGAGGGCACGATCGTTGCTCAGTTCAAATATTTCGACTATTTGAAAAGAACAAAAATATTAAAGGAAAGAGATTAGTTCAATGGTCAGCAACCTATAACCTGTGGCAATGATTTGGCAGACCTGCCAAAAGTTGGCTTCACCGTTGCAACCCATGAGGGCATGATCGTTGCTCAGTTCAAATATTTCGACTATTT